GTAGTAGATGTCGCAAGGCTTCACGCTTACTTTACCTTGCCCCGTCCATCGCATTTCTTGGATGGCGGTGATGTCAGCCTTTGTCTTCCCGAGGACATCAACCAGCCGGGCAGAGGCACCTTCCCCATTAAGGGTCCGGATATTCCAGGTGCATACCCTTAAATCATAGTCCTTTATACGTTTGCCGTGGTCGTCATCAGAAAAAGGGGGTCTCATCCGAGGCTTGTTGGAATTTTTCATTGGGCGGGGTTTTAACGTGGCGGGACCCAAACCCAGCGCACGCGAAGTTTTACGCCTTCTCACTTTAGCTCGCTCCCAAACGGGTGTTTGGTTGCTACCCAGAGGATACGTGGATATAAATATCCGGACGTTGTGAGCTGCGATTTGAACCGTACGCACAAGAATCGCTTCTGGCCACTCCCAGGTGAATGGCAGTCAAAAGTTTTCCACTTCTGCGCACGGAACCATCCTCCATGTAAGAGGTTTCCATCTGTTTAAAATCTAAAATTGAGTTCAGGGGATAAGTTAATTGAAAAAGTATGACAAGTGAGAAGTTTAGGAACGTTTTAGTTTGAAAATATTTTGAAACTGGTTAAACAAATTTTAAACCTCCTGTTTTTTAATTGAGTTTTCTTGAAATAAATTTTACTCAATGTATCACGTAGAAATTTCATACACTCAGCGAAGCGGGTGAGGGCGATCTAGTTATTTATATTTTTTCTGTTTTTTTAATAATCAGCTTAAATCTTATATTAATGTGCATATGTATGTATATATGTGAATAAAAAATTCAATAAATGCTTATGTAAAATGTTCGTTATGGAGCAATGTGGGAGTAGTTTCCCATTACTCCATGAGGAGTATAGAAACGCTCTTTTATTACTCGTACAGGAGGCTTCCGGGATGAACCTTATGGGAGTACTCCCTTATTGCTCCATTAGGAGGTTTGTGGGATGATAATTCTATGTGTGCTCCCGATTGCTCGTTTAGTAGGTAAAAGGGCTTACTCCCCCTCCTAGAGCATCCAATGTTAAAGGGAGTATACAAATTTACATCCTTATACACAAGAATAGGGAGCAATGAGGACTATTCGTATACTCCCAAGGGAGTGCCCACCGAGCAATCGCACGATGCTCCCAAGTTATACTTGGAACGGCCAGAAAATGTGTTATGTACAGAATGTGTTTATTAGCTGGGGACTTATGCAGGGCGCGAAGTGTGCAGAAGTCGAGTCGTCATGCATTCGCTTCGGCATCACGAAACGATTATAATTACCAAGTTAAAGGCGAGACTCACTGTTAATGATTTATGATAATAAATAAATAAAATGTTGAACAAAAACTACTGCCAACTTCCTATATTTGCAATTTTTATATTGTATGCATAAACATAAGTAAACTATTTAGTGTTTCGAGAAGGTGTGCCGGTTCAGTGTTTCCATACTCATTTGCATAAACAAAATTTTACCGCGGTGATGGAAAATAATGGCGTTTCTATTAGAGCTACCGAAATTGTTCCTAAGACCCCTATTGCTAGTGTCGACTGGCAGTAGAATAGAAATTTGTCGATCGAGTCGATCATATTTTATTGTGCTATTGTGTAACTTGATCGATAAAAATATGTACTATTGTAAATGGTTGACTGAATTGTAAACAGCTTACATTTGTTTACATTTGTTTCTTTAGTGTTTCATTTACATCATTTTTAAAATAACTGCTTTTATTATAAAATTTAAAAAATGTACACAGTTGAAACATGGTTTAGTGATGAGGAAGATGATGTGGAAGCTACCCAGTAGATAATTTCAAGAGTTAAAAGCCCTTACGAAAGGCCTTCCTGAGAGTCAAGAGGCCTTCCACTCTACATTCCTTTCTCCTTTCTCTTTTGTATGGAGTGGCACAAATTGAAGGGCTTCTTCTTTCGCTACCCATGGAAGGCCTTCCAGAAGGGCTTTTATAGGACATACTTCAGAAGGGCTTTTGGGGGAGTTCTTTGAAAGTTGCTTCTTTAATTTATAAAAATCATACATCTTTGAAGTATTTTTGCTGCGGTTTATATCAAACATGTGTTATTGCAACTTAAAATGTTTATTGAAATTCATTTGTAATACGAAATTTATGCATTCGCGTAAAAGTGTGTTTGCATTGTTCAACTTTGCGTTCAACATTTGCATTCAACTCAGCGCAGGGTTGCACGAAAAAATGTTGAATGGCTAAAAATATAAAAAATATGAAAAAATATCAAAATATTCGCCATAAAAAGGTGTTTGCATTGTTCAACTTTGCATCCAACTTTTGGTTGAATGGCCTTTCAACTAATTGCTTGCAACAAAGTTGGTCGCCAACCAACATTTAACCATTCAACTTTTTTTTCGTGCAACCCTGCGTTGAGTTGTACGCAAATGTTGAACGCAAAGTTGAACAATGCAAACACTGCTTAAAATGTAAATGGATAAGCCCTTCTAGAAGCCATGCAAGGAAGCACTTTTTTCAGCCCTTCTTGGGTAGGCCTCTTAGAATGGCTTTACTTAAGAAAGCCTACCTAAATTAACTTATGGGTAATAGATTAGTAGAGTTGGCTAAAGCAAAGAGGGAATAGCGAGATTCGTCGGATCCCTTGGAGTTGGAAGATGAAGTGTGTGTACATATGTGCATTTTATGAATAGAAGTTGCGTTCACGATGCCTCACGGTTTTTAGGTTTTACAGGATTTGTAGGAAAAGCTGTTTTCCTCATAAGTAAACTTTATGGAAGTGAAGCGTGATCCGAGTTTAAAAACTTTAACGTGTAGTTAAAGAATTAAACTTTAATTTAAAATAAAGATTTGAAATTTCCGAGCACTAGTTAATTAACAAATTATGCAGTTTTTTGTAAATTTTGATGTTGGTTCTGGATGGCGTAGCCGCAGTTATATGCACAAGAAATATTATATATCTTTCACAATAGAAGCGGAGCTTCCTCCCCTATTCTTTTCGAAAATTCCTTTGCCTATGTCCTCATTCTCCTGCATCAGCTCGACCAACCGCGCAAGTTGGCTTTTGTTGCTTACAATTTTTGATCTGTAATTCAGACACATACATACATATGTATATTCCACAATTTTTTACAACTTACAGATCAATTGACTTACTTTTTATCCATTATAGTACCACTTTCTTTTGTAAATTTTATAAACGCAAACTCCAACGACTAAAAAACAGCAATAGAAGGATGAGCGATTAAAAAGTATTCACAGTCGCTAAATGAGCGACTAAGCGACACGCATCGATAATCGATAGTCGCTTAATAGTCGTTTATCTACCGCCAGTCGACATTCGCAATAGGGGTTTAAATTTGCAAAAATTCGTAAACTATAGCTAATATTAAAAACAGATTAGAATATTTGGAAGCAGCGACCTAAATGCACCCCAGCAATATTAATGCTGCTCTTTACATCTATTGACTATAGGCCAGTGCAATTATCAAGAGAACAACTAAAATTGTATTGAAAAAAGATAAGTTCGATATTACCGATAAATTAAATGGCTGCGAGAAATGATAGTTGATTTTTATCTCTGTGTGTCACTTGGCGGTCGAATGCGCAGGCTCTTATAATTAAAATAAAAGACGAATATTTTACATGCTTGTTGTTGACTTCATGATAAAATATATTTTAACTATTACCAAGGGATTTGAGAAATATTAGATTTTCGACCCGCCCAAATATGCAGTTTTTAACTTGAGTGTAATCTTATAATACATATTGCGTATTCTACTTTCAAGTTTATCGGCTCCGATACAGCCCGCAGGTCGAGACGAAGTCGCATGCCTGATATTTTTTTCTAATCCCTACGTAGTGGTAGTACGCACCTCTAACCACTTAGCCACAGCGGTTAATATTATGGTCTGATTATGGCAACTTAACGTAAGGCCGTAAGGGGTCACACTTAAAAATTCTGTTAAATGGATGTTGCTTATAATTGAACAGCTGAAACTTAATGTAACTTAATGGCACGTCGAAATCTATATCATTTTGATTCTCTAAGTTCTAAGTTCGGTTAAGTTAAGTTAAGTTAAGTTGCCATAATCAGCCTTTTAAGCTTAAAACAAATTTATGCAATATAAAGCGTACTTTAGGTTTAAATTTTACTTTTTTTGAGGCCATTTACTGGACGGAAAACTATGCATTTAAATTTTCTTCAGTAATCAGTAGTCAGATACATTTTCAACGCGATCCAGCTAACGATTAACCGCGAGTTGAGCCAAAATATTTTGGTGAATGTTATAGTAAAATGTTATAGTTTGAATATAACACCTAATTTAGATTCTCAGTATTAAACTCAGCCCTGTTAAGCAGTTTCTTAAAGATCATGGCTATTTTCGAATTTTCCACAATGTAGAAAATCAAAAATGGATCCAATAGTTGCGGTTGAAGACTTAACGTTTTTTAATTAAAATTATCTATAGCATAGTGGGGTTACTTTTTTCGCCGAATCTAAAACTTTATAAAAAAGTAAAGATTTTTCTTATTTTCTGTATATTTTTTCTATAGAGACCTTGTGTGATTTATGAGTATGAAGGCAAACAAATTTAGTTGGAGTCTCCTTTACAAATCTCTTTCAGATGTAAAGCCGATATGATGACAAATACCACTTTTCGATACACATATGTGATGTAATGAGTCGCAACTACGGGTTTTTCGTATTTTCACCGTCATTTCAGAAGTTAGGTCTGACCCAGAAAAACCATTATTATATTCGGAATCAGGATAAATATGTTAGAAAAGTTTTTTTTTCATTCTTGGTAGTTAAAGTTGATCAAAAATTGTTGATTAGTGGCAATATCTAAGTAACGATTTCATATTACATCGAATTTCTTTTAAATCAAGGCACCAAATAACTCCGGGTATTTCGGCTCCCTTACCCGTGACAACCAACATTCGAGTACCTCCCAATGTCGGAGATATTTCGATTTTTCACGCAATACTTGCAACTGACAGATCAGAGCGTTTCATATGTTCCTAGCCACTTGCAGTCTGAAACAGATTATATAACTCATAATGATGTTGAGGGGGCAGTGAAATACTCCGCATAAAATTTGTCATCTCGATTGAGAACAGATTTCGTATGCCCGCTGTTATTCATTTTATTTCGTTAAAATCTTTAATATTCATTGCACATAGCGCATTTGCGTTAATCAGCAGAAGCTTCCGGCCCGTTATCACGTTGACACGGAAAACATCCTGAAATGTTTAAAAGAAAAAAGTCTGAGAGTTTTTAGAATACCTCCTTTTGTAAAATATGCGTATATACTCTTAATGCATGCATGTGTACGTACCCTGTAGGGAAAACACGAATTAGTGAACCAAATTTCTGGTTCAGTACTAGTTCTTTTTCGCCAAAAACGAACCAGCCCGATAGTAAATAGTCCCGAACCAGTCCAAAAGCAGTGAAATGTGGTACTTTCACTAAACTATTTTATTTCAAATTTTAAAAGCAGGGAAGGTAATCATTATGAGTAAAATAACTTAAAGCAGCATTTAATCATTATTTTATGTTTTATTTTTTCGCTCAAACGGAAATAATTATTATTTGATTTTTATTTTTGGCATTACAAATAATGATTATTTTATGATTTTTATTTTTTCGCGCAGAGATTATCATTAATTTTGAGATTTATTTTTCCACTTAAAAATAATGATAATTTATAAAATTGAAAAGGCCATACAGACGCAACCTACTGAAATTTTGACCTGAAAAGTTTGGGTCTTATTACGCTTATAAGAGTGCGGCTACCTCAAAAGGATACGTCGGTAATCACGCTGGTATAGTTTTTGAGTTGCTTAATAATCATTATACTTAGTGATTCCATAAACAAAGGCCAAGATCCTGAAGGACAATTGAGAAAGGCAATGCAGTTGCAGAAAAGAGGTTAAAAAAAAGTGTCAAAATAATTACCACTTTCTCACTAAATTTATTTAAAAATGCAAGCCACCAGAGCTACCTTTTTTTTAAGAAAAGACAAATTAATTTTACCTTAATACAGTCAGTCAATAAAGTTTAGGTACAACGAATTTTTTACAATACGGGCAACTATTTTTTAAATATTTTAGTTTTCGGCAATTTTTTATAAAATCCCCAAAAATCAGAGTTCCAAACCTTGTGCAAAATTTAAGAAAATTCTGCAAAATTTCATTAAAATAATTCACTCTCTATTTGCGCTCTCTAGAAAAAGTTGAGTTTGCAGTTTTTTAGCCCATTCAATTTTAGTATAATGAAGTGCAAGTATGAGGAAGCTAGGACTTACCAAACAACAACAAAAACTTGCTAACAATGGTAAGTCCTAGCTGCTTGNTTTAAACATTTGTGATGGTATTGTCCTTCCTTCAACCGATCATATTTAATATAAAAGGGAAATGTTTCGACAAGCCTGATTAGAAATGTAGATCTAAGGTGACGAATTTATAACAGGTTGGGAACTATAAAAAATGGATGCAGATCGAACAAGATCTCATCTGTCGAATTAGGAACTGGTTTGGAACTATAGAAAAAGGGATGCAAAACGAACTAGATCTTATCTGTCGAATTTAGAACTGGTTCGGAACTAGCGCCAAAGGGATGCAACCGGGGACAATTGACACTTCCTAGGACATCGCAATGTTAAATTCGCCAGTCGCTAGCATGCAAAAGAGAATTAACGCGTACTAGTGATGGTTCCAAACGCACTAGAACCGAACCAGTTCCGCACTAGTTCGTTTCCCTACAGGGTACATATGCGTCATTATAAACCAATGTAAAATTGTCTCACCTCATACTTTTTGTAACCACTCCGCTCCAACCACTTGCACACGTCCTCTGCTGTCCATTGATAAACGTCTGGTACTGAAAGTGCATCCACTACTTTTGCGGCTAAACTTAACAAACTTTCGGACGAAACTTTAAATTCGATTGGTAAGTCAGCTGCATCGTATGATTTCTCCCTTCGTAAAACCAGATGAGTTTCGAACTGAAATGGTTTATTTCCTACTATCGGTGTTGGCGGTAATTTATAAGCACGTTTATTTCTCCGATACATGGGAGTTGCTCATACCGTCGCTGCTAAACAGCTACTAATGTTTTTGTTTCGCAGAAGTCGTTAAAGAACGTAAATTTTTACGCAAGAGAAATTATACCCAAACAAATGTGTTCGTAACAAAGAAAAAATTTAATGTGCAAATGGAGTGCAAAAAATAAATATTGGCCGACCATCCGATCAGCGTTGCCATTTTCTAAATTTCGGAGAGAAATGAGCCAAAAAGTGGAGTGCTTTTGGGTTTTCCGTAGTGTCAAAGTAAAATCGCTGGTCAAAGTAATACATACTTATATAAAACTCATTTGTCAATTCACTTTTTAAAAGCAGTAGAAATATCAAAGCCTGCAACTTTAATCAACTTTGGTTTTGTTATATTTGGATAAAATTACCTTAGAACTTGTTTCGTGTTGAGTTTTTAATCAGTTTAGTTTTTTTGGCACTGATATGCAGCAAACTTAACAAAGCCCCAACAAATGGTTTTATATGGGGGTACATTACTTTATGCTTTTATTTTCTTTATTTAAAGACGGAAAACCAAAAATCTTTGAATTGTTTTTCGATTTAAAAATCAGTTAATATTAACTAGAAGACGCCACTTCGTTTCCAGGTCATCGATATTCGTATCTTCAACAATGCTGGGAAAATACTTTATTAAGGGTACCAAACTATTACCAAGAGAGCTTGGATCTAAAATTTCTATTGCTTTTAGGACGGAATCATTGAAGTTCACCCTTTTCTAATTTGTACATTACTTGCAAACATCCACATAAAACTGCAACCAGTTTCATAGAAAAATGTGTTGAATGAATTGTCATTTGTACCCCTGGCTCCAAGGCGAATTTGTATAAGGTAATCAGCTGTGAGTAGCGTTTGATTGTCAAAATTTTGTATTTTGCTAGTGAGTGAGTGAAGCCGTGAGAGTGTTTGTATTTTCTGTCGCCCTTTTTCATTCGGGGAAGAATAGCTGAAGTTTGACAATGGCCCGCTAAACGCACAAACTAAATACAAGTGATTGTTGTATTTGTTGAATCGATACCACCTTATATGTATTCGCCTTGCCG